GATCTTCCCGAATTGAATTTGTAAGTTAGTAAAATAAATGTTCATGTCCACTTGGTTTTGGGCAAATGGCGGAGATCTAACCATTGGATCGTAATGAAAATTTAATATGTTATTTTAGAAACATATTGTGGATCGTTGGGAGTTGCGGATTGGAAATCTGATATGCGGATCTTCCAAATCGAGCTATACAGGGTTGTAAACCCTACCGTTGATCTTTGATCGACGGTTGACTTTTGGTTAATGGGTCTCAAATTATTCTTGAAGGTCCTTGAGGATATGTTTTATGTAAATTATGTATTCTATCGGTAAAAACTTTGAGATGTGATTTGATAATTGGTCACAGGCGACGATAGATCGTGATGTCTCGATGTGCGTGCAAGATAATCATAGCGTGGACTCCAGGTGAGTGGGCCTTTTTCTTTCATAGGCATATAATTGATAGTTCCACAAGCACTTCTATAATGATCTATGCTTGTTACCTACAATTAATCATTTTAAACTACGAATGGCTTGATCCTTGTTTAGGGTACATAGGCAGTCTAACAAGACGTTAGATGTAGCCATATAATAAATAAGATTAAATAATTGAGACAATAGCTTTGTTTGGTGAATTGAGCAATGTGAAGGGCATTGGTGGGAAGTGTGAGATTTAGCTTTATGATTTGGCAATTAATGTTGATCATGAATCAATGCGTGAAGAATCAAAAAATTGAAGTAAGGAAAGGTAAGTAATAATAGTTAATGTAACTAGGGTCTAATTGGGCTTAACACTGATGATTACTCTCAAAAGTAAATAGTTTGGCAGTAGGGTGTTATTGATTGTACATGTTACGTCGTATTATATATTTTGGGAATATCATGAAATGTTTGGGTATAGATTGCATCATGGCATATTCATATGGATATTACCTGAACCTAACTATTGTGAATGCTTTGAAGTGCTATATGACGCCGCAGACGCCCAGGTAAGCTTCAGGTGAGTACATGTTGATGTTAGTGATGGTAGTGAGTACGATTATGTTGAGATATAGTATAGCTCATAAACCTGCACTCCGGTGTTAGTGCTCCCGCCCGTAGCCAGGGCACAGTCCTTTACGTGATGTTCACCTCGCGCACCTTACGCTTACCTTGGATCCAAGGTAGGTGTACAGTCCTGTCGTACAGACCACTTTAGGTGGTTTCCACTCGTAGGTGACCCGCAATTATTCACACAGTCTTCACGTGATCGTAGCACTTGAGCGTATTTATTTACACCCAGTTCTGTCGTACAGACCACTTTAGGTGGGTCCGACTCGTGTGCAAGTATACTTATTGAGCTATTGGCTAGCCATGATTGATGAAATATGGATAAGTCGTACAGGTCATTATAGGTGACTCCGACTTATATGCTAGCCATGATTGATGAGATATGGATAAGTCGTACAGGTCACAAGAGGTGACTCCGACTTATATGCTAGCCAAGATTGATGAGATATGGATAAGTCGTACAGGTCCAGGATTAATGAGATATGGATAAGTCGTACAGGTCACTATAGGTGACTCCGACTTATATGCTAGCCATGATTGATGAGATATGGATAAGTCGTACAGGTCACAAGAGGTGACTCCGACTTATATGCTAGCCAGGATTGATGAGATATGGATAAGTCGTACAGATCACTATAGGTGACTCCGACTTATATGGTAGCCATGATTGATGAGATATGGATAAGTTGTACACGTCATTTTAGATGACTCTGACTGATATATCATTTTGTATTGATTAAGTTCATGTGGCCTACTTATTAATGTATGGTGGAGTTGATGGCAAACCGTGGTTTTGGTCATTTCTGAGTATGGTTTGGATATATGTATATATGTTGTATTGTCCTATAGAAAACGATAAGGGAATTACAGTGAGGGGTTATTACTGTTAGAAAGGTAATAGTTTTGGGAAGCTTGGTTTTACTGCTTACTCACACTTTCTGTTTTGTACCCTTTCAGGTTTTAACTGCTGAGTTAGTATCGACGAGGATATATAGCTAATATTAGTATTGGTGGCTACTTTTAAGGGTATGATTCTTACCCATATTACTATACCTTACTTATGCTCTAACATCGCGTGTGAAATGAGTTCGCTCCCACTCGTAGCGCACTCTGGTATTTAGACACTTTTAGATTCAAATTTACTCACTTTTTATACACTATCACATTTTATGGCTTCGTCACCTTCCAGGTGTCGGCCAAAATAGCTCGATTTGGGGCCCTAGTGGACATTTCGGGTCGGGGTGTGTCATTTGGACTTGATCCTACCATTTCTTAGGTCCCGGAACTATTTTTTATTGAGATTTAAAGTTTGAAAAATATCTTTAAATTTAAGTTTTAAATCGTTGATTTCAAGTGTTTAAATATGAATTATAATAGATCTTACATAGATAAATATATTTTAAGGAATATGAATGTGATAGCTTGTTGGTATGGTAAGGGAAACAAAAGAAAAATTAACAAAAAAAAAATGAAAAAGAAAAAAAAAATTGAAAAGCAAGGATCGGTATGAAAGTAGCGACTTCTCTACAGTACAGTTGCTAGCTTACTAACGACTATCTTCCTAACGGATCGGTAGCAAAGTCTAGATAGTATCCATTTCCATTTTTTTTTCCTTTTTCTTTTTCCATTGAATTTTTTCTCTTTCTACGTTACTTTATTTACATTCAAATACCTTTAGATTTTATATCGTTGTTTTTGAACTTTTAGAAATGGATTATAAGAAAATTTTCACTGGGAATACATCTTGTAGAACATGAAGATGATAGTTTGGTGTTGTGGTATGAGAAAAACGAAAATTTAATAAAGTAGGGAATTTTTATTAGCACTCCACAAATCTCATTCTACAACCCTCTAAGTGTATTTTTTTTTCTAATTATAGAAAGTTTTGAGTGCAAAATGAAATTTTGGAGTGCTAATAACAATTCCCATGAAATAAATCATAACATAAACAAAATGAATGATTTAAGCATAGGGAGACGCGTCCCAAATTTATGTCCAAGCCTAAACTCATCCCAAGAACGCATGCCCTCGAGAAGGCCCAAGGTGAAGAAGATGCAATGGAGGCCCATGAGGTTTAGGGTTTTGGGGAGTTTGAATAGTAATGCCCTGAGTTCAAGTGTTTAGGGCCATGTTAATAATAACTCCTTGAGTTCGACGCATTTCAGCACCCACTGTACTTGAATTTTTTCCCTCGCCGCAACGCGGCAGAGAAACACTTTTTTTAAAGACAGGGTAACTATTAAAACTTATGACGTTAGTATGAATTCTTTCATGGTTGATAGTGACTTATAAATACCACACCTCCGACAACAATGCTTCATCCTACCAACATGGTTGAAGAGACCGTGTACAGGCTCTCATTGAGCTCGATATACACAGTTTAGGATTAAGATGACATCCCAGTCTTTTTTCCTCGGTGACGTACGGAGGGGGGTAATGTGTATTAGGAGTACACTATATAACTTTAGTTTGTTTGAGAAGGAATAAGGCAGAAGCTAATTGAGAGATTTTCCGGCATTTTTTGTATAAGATTTGATGCCGAGATAGGTGGCTAGCTTCAGTTTGAGTTATGCAAATATTGAATTCGGGCCGGTCTCCGTTTCGTGGCCACTGATTAGCATGTTTTCCTCTTTTTTTCCTTTAGTATGGTTCGAAATCAAGTATTTATGCTCTGTTAAAATAAATAAAACGTGCCAATATCGCGGAAATCTTAGAGATACGAGGGAAGAAAATTACTTCACTCTTACTATCGGTATCGGAGTCTTGAAAAAGGATATACATACATATAGTTGTTTAGGTAGAAATTTTCATCCTTGATCATATGTTGAGTGTTGGAACCAAATTTGCACACTTCTGCGGATGTGGAGGCACAAACTCGAGCATGGTCCCACATTTAGCAGTGGTCAATTTCAACAAGCATGACATTTATCTATCTCCAATTGCAATATTAGAAATGGAATCAGTGCAAACTGCAGAATTGTTCTAATTTCTATCACGCACTATAATTTTTTCTTTATTGGGATACCAGGATCCTGGAGCTCATGAGAGAAAAATACATTTAAAAAAAAAAAAATTGACAGTACGAGGGAGAGTTTTATAAAAAGTTACACCTAATCAGAAGGACATGATAACATAATACTAACATTAAGGGCTTAAAGAGCTTATACATTTGTCATTTGGTATGGTGCATTACAAACAGTGTTCCCTAACTGATGAAAACATAGGAGGAAGATGAAAGTCAGATTAGCTGGAGTTGGGGTGATGAAATGGGCGAGCCCTCATTACTACTCAAAAAGTTCATCTCTCGCTGAATCCTGAACCTGCGCTGCAAACTGCAAATTCCAAAGAATGTCATCGACTGAAGGCCTATCAGCTGCCTCATCGGAAAGACATCTCACACATATCTCCATCATTGTCTTCAGCGATTCATCCGAGCATTCCTTGTGCACTGCTGGATCCACAATGCTCCTTCGAGCTGTGTCATCAGTGGTCAAACTTACTTGTAACTGCGTAAGAAACAACCAAGACAGAATTTCTGGTTTAGCTGGAGAAAGCAATTTTTGTTGGTTCAATAAGGATCATTTCAAAGAGTTTGAGCGTAAAGAAAAGAACAAATAATATTTTTAAATTTTCACTGACATCTGGATACAATCGTATCAATACTGCTAATTCTGGAAGAGTACTGGAAACGAATACCGAAAATCTTTTGCGCATGGTACTTGATTTTGGTTTCATGTGTAGTTTTTGAGGTTTTACTATTGCCCACCTCTTGTTTCGTTAGACGTGTACTAAATAAAATGATCTAAAAATTTGCAGGTCAGTTATTGTGAAAATGATGTTGATTGCCGACGACTTCTACAACTTATTCATTTCGGAGAAAACTTTGATTGTGCAACCTCCAAAAAGACTTGTGATAATTGCTTGAAGATTAAAAGTTTCAGTGAGAAGTTGGCCAATGTTTCAGTGTGAAATCACAAAGCAACTGGTTTGTAACGATAATAATTTTTGGGAGATGTTGGCCAATGTTTCTATTGATGAATGTCAATTCCTTGCAACAGTTTGCAAATCCTTGCATTGTCTGTGTATTCCCTTCTGCCACATGTGCTCAGGTTGAACTGGTGAAGTTAACAGGGCAGCAGTTTTCGTCATCTCATATTCTAGAAGTCTACAGGGGCTCCTTAAACCAATTTGTATGCTTTAATTTTAAGAAATGTACTGTCCTTTCTATCTTATTTTCATTCATCGATTGTAATGTTATGTTTGTATTGTTAGGTCAAGAAACACAGGCATCAGACTGTGAGACTGCATGGAGCAGGAAAACATCTAGCCAAGGTTGAAGCTTCTCGTGTATCACGTCATCCTGTTACCGAGGACCTTCTTGTTGAGGAAGTCAAGAAAAGTGATGTTTATGGATCTGTATCGTCAATACTAAAGGTACTTTTAATTCTTTCAGTTCACTTATGCTGGGTTTTTCATGAAGATCACCATCCTTGAAAAGAGCAAACTAGGCAAGAAAATACCACTTACTGTCATCGCTGCTTGTTAGTTTTTGTACAGTAATTACATGTGTCATTTTTCTTTCTTCCAGGTTAATGAACAGAAAGCGCGCGAACTCTTCTCTGGCAGGAAGACAATTTTAATAAGGTTTGGCTTTCTAGTCATACCACATTTTGGCTTTATTCTCACTACTATTCGACCATGCATGTGCAGTGTGTCCAATACTATTACTGTCAGCTGGGGATGGACTTGCGGTAGATCCACCTTGTTCAAAGGACCCCCACTCCCATTCAGCTTGATTGGTCTCCCCTAAACTGTGTATCAAAAATTTAGAATCTGTTTGGAACACATTCAAGTTTTGTTATATACCATACGTTTTCAAAATTTTGAATACGAATACACTTCACAGCTGATGGGATATTTGGTTTCTAGTTTCTAGTCAGGTTCACCAAAAATCCTTCAACTGCGGTGAACATGCCTACCTGCTTAGAATAATTGTCTATTAACAACAATGAATAACATCGTCGATAGGATCTGCTTGCTGAAATCCCTCCACGAAACCCATAAAACTAAATTTCTCTTATTTGAGTCATATTTAGTTAGCATTGGTCAACTAAAGCTTTTGCATGTTTCCTCTTTGTGGTTTCTGAGCCGCTAGTTATCAGTCTAGCATTCATCTTTTGTTACTAGAAAAGCTTTCACAAACTTGCATGATATCTTACACGGTTTATATTCATCACTGATTGCTAAGTGAGATGATCATGTTTGTACTCCAACCATCGTATTAATATTTTCTTTTTATCTAATCTTGTTTTATATTGTGCTATGATATGCTTCTTTTCACTTAAATGCTTTTAGTCTTGCGAATGTCAAACGAAGTCTGTAAGTTTTTGTTCCTTTTCTGCCCTATAAACCCGCGCGCAACAATATTGTGACTGACATCTTAAATATACTGTAGATTCCCTTCCACATTAAAAGCTTCCAAACAGAAAAACCCCGAAGCGATTTCAGCTAAAGGCTCACTGACATCTGGGATGCAGAGCCCTCCACATACTGGCACTGAACAACCTCAATTAAAAGGAGATTTGGTATGTTTATAGATTTTAGATGCACTATATAGGATCTGAAGCATTCGTCTGGTCTTATATATTCCTCTTCTTGGTTAAGTTTGTCTCCCAGCTAGGCCGAACTCAAAACCTTGACCTTTATGCCTGAAGCCTAAGCCGTAAACGGGAACAGATGCGCACATATTACAGTATTACATGCATACACAGATACATATTTCAGATTTATATGTTGACAAGACACTATTCTGCTTGCTGAAGTATCTGACTAGCATGAGGGCTAAGTCGACCTTCGTCAATTGATTTGTTTATCTGAAATTTCATTACAGGTTCTATACATGAAAATATTTTCTGCTTTGAAAACCTTCGAACTAATATCATTAGAGAAGCTGGTGATGGTGTCATGGCACACCACATATTTCCGTAAGATTCTTACTCTTTTTCCTCATCCCAATAGAATAAATCTGTTTCATACCTGTTTGTTTTCGGAGGAAAGAAGGAAAAGTAATTTTGGAAAGTTGCTACTTTTTCGGAGTTAGGAATTTTTATCCCGGGGTGTCACTATACATGTCTCCATTTGTCCCTTCGATCTTTAAAGATGTTTCCTGATTTTTTGCCATTTCGAGTCAGGAATACAACGATTAAAAACATAAGCAGCAAAATGCCTAGAACGAAGGATGAACTCCTCGAGATAAATGGCATTACCCAGTAAGTTTCAAGTTATATGATTATATGATGCTACCTAAGAAACAATATACTGAACTTGTCTGGCTTAATGCAGAATTAAGGTGGCCAGGTACGGAGATCGAATACTTGAAACAATTGAAGCTGCCATAAAGGAATACTTCAAAACAGATAAAAACAGCAGCGGTGGCAATGACAGCAACGATATAAAGAGGAAAAGAGATGGTAACAAGGATCGGAAGGAAATTTTTGAAGATGACGACTTCAGAAGCACAGATAGATCGAAGAAGAGGGCTCCAAAGACGCAGAGCAATACTATTGAGACCTTCCGTTATGTGGAGCCAGATTACAGTGAATTCATAGATGATGAATTAGACTTATCTGGTTATGACTTTGAAGCTAATGTTCCGGATATGAAAACCAATCAGAACGGTGGCGGAAGAGTGCTGCCACAGTGGTCAACTCCTGGAAATGGGCGACATCGGTAGAATTTTATTCTTTTGCATCGAATTAGGAAGATGTGGGCGGTGAGACTCCGAAGACGACCATGCATTTCCGGCTGCTGGAAGATAGGAACATATTTATGCTATTTAGTTATGTTGTTTTCTTGCATTTAGTTAGCTAATTACTAGTGTTTTAAGCTATTTTCATGTGTTTGTAGATCCTAATGACAAAGTTGGCAAGAAAAGACAATTTTAAGCCTTTTCAGAAATTAATTAGGTTTTGACCATTTTCTTGAAGCCCAAGCCTTGTGTCGCACCCTAGTCCTTCTCCCACCTGATTTCTACCAAACCCTAGACCTAATTTTGATTTCCTAGGGTTTGCCGTGCATCATATATATATATTTCAAGTTTGTGCCGCACCCACCCTACCATCCATTCACTATTTCATTTATTCATTCAGCCATCAACCACCAAAATTCACACCACATACACCTAAATTACCTTAGTGCCGCAAGCAAGGAAGGAAGGAGAAGAAGAGTGCCGTGCAATCTGCCATCCAAGGGAGTGCCACAGGCTTGCCATTGGAGTGTGGAGTGTTTCTAGGTTCTTTCTATCCTAGTTTTAGTTCAATGTTTATTTTAATTTGGTTTTCAATTATGATGAACATGTGGAGCTAATTTCTTTATAGTTGGAGGTGAATTCGAAGCCATGATTATATGTTTTATATGAATTGATTACATCCAGTTATTGTTTCTTGAGTCTTGAATGTGATTTGCTTATCTGAGTTATCAAAACTTGTTTATGTATGTTGATTAAGGGTCGACACTTAATTTGCATGCATGAATTTGATGCTAGAATATAAGGGAGTTTCACGTAATAGTTATTCGTTTATATTCACAAGTAGTGGAAGTCACTAGTTATGATTGTGTTAAGTGAATCCTTGGCAGGAGTCTCGTGCGTTTTATAGTGATGAATGTCTTGTCAATGCTTTTGATTTTCATAAACTTAATGACTTTTGATATGTATCTATAACATGCGTTTCATATAGAGAACTTGAGAAAGATAATTTGGTTGTGATGCGTATTCATTTAATTCAATGAAATAAGGAAAATCTGGTGGTTGGTTGTGCGATACAATTAACTTGGGGCGTTGTCATTCATAGTCTAAAGGAATAATAACTGGAAATTGGTTTGTATGCATATATCATGTGTGGAGATGAACCCTCTAACTAGCCTTTCACCCATTCATTCACCTTAATTTCGTACCTTTTAGTTTATTCTTGCAATTTGTTTGTTTAAGTCTTAATTTCGTTAAAATCAATCCCCCTTTAATATTTAGTGTTTTAACTTAGAATCTGTTTAAGTTTAGTTTTATTGGTGTTTTGAGTCAAGTAAAGGTCAAAATTTGTCCAAATACCCCATTAGTTCTTAATTGTGTTAGTTTTGTTTTAATTCGACAGAATCTGTCCATGTTGAGTCTTTTGGGTCTTTTTAGTTCAATTTTCATCCAAATCACTTCCTAGGACCTGTTTTGAGTCAATTTAATTTAGTTTGTGTGCTTTGAGCTTATTTAGCTTGTTTTGAGTTGTTAGAGTCTAGTTAAGTGTTTTTAAGCCTAGTTTTGTGTTTTTGAGTTGACTAGCATCCCTAGTTAATCCCCGGTCTAGAATGATCCCTATTTGTATATATACTACAATTGTCAACATTAGGGTTTAATTTGTGTGCCAAGTTAATTTTCACATCACTAGAACAAGGCTGTGTCCCATCTAACAGATCATGTGTTATGTGCAAAAGTTGTGTAAATTGTAACTCTTGTTGTCTTATTTATGTTTATTGTCAGAATACTTGTGTACTTGAATATCAGAGCTAAGTTACAAAGGTGTCCAACCATATGAACTAGTATAATGTAAAAAATATTGAGGGTAGTGGAAGGTAAACGCCGCATAAGAGTTCCCGCCATTGGTTCTTTTTCGTGGTCCGACCCTTCTGCGCCATTGGTTCTTTATCGTGGCCTGAAACTTTCGGACCATGGAGGTTGGAGACAGGAGCTTCTGAGAACAAAAATGAAGCGATTTACAAACAGCCTAAAATGGATATCAGCTTATCTGAGTAAAGGGACTATCTAATACATATTTTTCAGCTTTGTTCGATTGAGTTGGATTTTTTGTTCACGTTTGAAGTAGAATCACACGTAAGACGCATCGTGGCCATTGGTTTATAATTGTGCATTCTCTTCCATGGATACCATATTTCGCTTATTCGACATTGATTTACCTGACGTTTGATTTGAAATGTGTATTCAACTTTTGAGTAGCCGGAAGCGGAAAAACGACAGTTCTGAGATCGAAATCTAAACTTGTTACAAAGGTATCTAACATTTAACAAGTGCTTCCAAATTCCAATATATAACGTCACTCATTGTTTTAACAATCCAACAGCCTGTCCTCCTCTGTTAACCTAATCCAACTGCTGATCTTAAAACATCTGAAATAAGAGAGTTGTATCAAAAAACAACAGCCAAAAACAGAAGCTCCATAATTAAAAAAAGTCTTTCGCACGTGGTAATCATGTGATTAAATTAGTTGTTAAATGATTGTTTTTTATTTTTATTTTTAACAAACGATATTATCTACACTAAGGGGGATGGGGGTGGGCTTAGTCTTACAATGGGCTAGCAATAATGTGATTCAATCAATTGTTTATTAAATATTATTTTCTCTATTCTTAATGTAAATTTTATAGAGACCGATTTTATTATGTGAATTCAGCTGCTTTAGTTAGTTTATAAGAGTTTTCTTCTAGCATGATCTAATATTATTCATTTATTTCAAATATTTGACTTTCTTTTTGTCAATTTACGTTAAATACATTTAAAACGTGCGTGAAGGCTAGTATATCAAGAAAACAGAAGGGCATACACAAGATAGTAGAACAAGTAGTTACCAAATGAGTTCTTGGTTTTCAATTTTCAAAAAATTAGAACTATATACTGAAATGGTTATCTAACGGCCCATTAGTTTTAAGGACTAGGAAAGTGGAAATGAAAAAACGAATACGTACCCAAGCTCCTAATAAATTAGAAATTGTGGATCATCTGGAGTGGATGGCTGCTCTTGCTCCTCCTCAATATCAATAGGAACATTGAGATCAATCTGCCTGTGTTTCGAATGATCATCCATTGGCGTCGAAGATAAGGAAAACCATTGTTGTTTCCAATCATATGCATCATCAATGATATCTGATAATCCATGTGGACGAGGCCTCTTCCCAAGACTACTTGTTGGTCCCAAAGACAAGCGAAGATGTTTGTCTTGGTTGCGCAATAGGAAGTGCAACCCACAGCTTTTAATGCGTGCGCCTTTGGGGAAGTAAAATATAACTTGACAATTAGCTCCTTGCTGCTGCTTCTCCTTTAAATCCACTAACGCAAGCCACACATGGGTTGCCTCGATGTCATTTATGTCATTTACGTCATTTAAGTCATTATGATCCCATAACTTAGGTCTACACTGTTGTACTCCGTTGATGAGAATACAAGTATAATGAGGATGATAAGTCGGTGGTTCAAAAACAAAAGATAGAGCCAATCTGAATAACGTCTCGCCCACTTGTAAATTTAGAGGAATTTCAAAACAAAATTCACTGCCACCAACAAATTCCTCTTTCCATTCATATACTGGTAGTTGTTCAATTGTAATGCGTGTGGGATGGTTCATATGCCATTCATGTACCATAAACTGTTCAATCCTGATAGGTGTGGGATGGTTAGAGGTATAACCGAACCACTTTGGTACTTCATTGCCTTGATAGAAAACTTGCAAGTTGGACCACCAAAGACGTTCCTGCAAAGTGAATAATATGTAGATAACTAATTAGCAATAACTGTGATCTGATATCTCTCTCTCTCAAGTATCAACAAAATATATTCTAAATTTCAAGAGAAAGTAAGAGGAGAGAGGAACCTGATTGGAGTTCAACAAATTATTTTCCAACTTTTGCACCTCATCACCACTTAGTCCAAAGCAGTTACACAAGTCCAGAATCCTAAGCATCGGGGGTAGTGGTGGAATTTTCTCCAATGATGTGCAATCATCCAGATATAACTCAACTAGTTTTGGTGGAAGGACTTGAGGAATTTCCCGAAACCTCTTGCAACCGCTTAATGAAAGTGTCTCCAAGTTGACAAATTTGCTAATGCAATCCGGAAGACTAACAAAATTGTTTCTCGACAGATCAAGTTCTGCTAATGTGGACCAACAATTAAAAGGCACAAGAAAATCACTTTCTGATAAATTGCATCCTCTAAAACCAAGATAATGCAACTTAGGAAAGGCTAATGTGATACAGTTGTCATCTGAATCAGTTGAAAGCAGCTGAGATTCGGTCACGAGTTTTGAGCATTCAAGGAAATCAACATTGATGTAATGACGTAATGATGTATTTGCAAGGTTCTCACAACCATTTCCTTTCAACGTTCCAAGCCCAGTAAGATATGCAAATGATGAAGGCAATTTTCTTATGCCACTTTTTTCTATATCCAAATACCATAGGGATTCCATCTTGCCCTCCTCTATTTCTGGGAAAGTCTCAAGTCTTGTGCACTCACAAAGAGATAACACTTGAAGCGATCTCAATCCAAGTCTTGTTGCAAACTTCATAAGCTTAGAGCACCCACGAAGACTCAGATCTTTAAGTTTATCGAGGAATCCAATAGAATCATCAACCTCAACCAAACTTTTACAATTACTTAGATTCAAGTCCCTTAAGTTTGGGCTTCCGGATAAGTCGGGGATTTTTTTCAAGAATTCGCAACCACTTAAATTCATTGATGTAAGCTTTGCCAAATTCTGTAAAACCAAAACAAAAAACAAAACAAAAAGTCAAATGTTTTAAATACATTAATAATGAAAAACTTTGGAAATTTTCTTTTTTCTAAAAGTAAAATATACTTTTAAAATAGTAACCGTTCAAACTAATTTAAAATACGTACATGTACCTTAAATCCCTTCAATTGTTTGATGCCACTATATGGCATATCAAACGTGACAAGATTCCTTGGATGATAATTGGATGGCAAATTGAACGTAACCGTATGCTTTTGAAGAATATTGGATCCCAAATACTGAAACATAGGTCCATCCAATTCAATCCACCTCAAATCGTTGGGCAGATAATCAACGCGTCCAGAAAAGCATGCATTACGATTTATAAAAATTTCAAGATTTACCATCCCCATGAAGCTTTTTGGATTCAAAGGTATCACATCTGGTTCGGGCAACTTCACCACAATGCCTTTAATTTTCCATGTTCCCTGATATGAGTAAAAAAATGAAATATTGTTAACAAACCGTGTCGTTTAAAAAGATTTCACTTCAAACCAGATCATGACATATCAAATGTAAGAACATATATTCTACTTACTTGATTTTCAATTAGAACATTGTACACATCTTCATGAAACCACAACCTGCTACGTTTCCCTGGTTCATTGGGCGATTCTTCACGAACTATACGCTTACCCATTTTTTCTAGTAAGTCATGCATCAAAATCCTATTATCTTCAATAGTTATGATGGCATTCTCAACAAGTACTTCAATACAATCTTCAGGTACATTGAGCTTCGAATTTCTTAATACTTGTAACACATAGTCTTTATCTTCACCCTTGAAGAAGCATGCAATGTCTAGGAACACTTGTTGCACGACATAATCCCAGGCATCATAACTTTTTCGAAGTGTTCTTTGAATTCCTCTATAAGGTTCTCCTTCGTAAGAGTCGTAACTATCCAATATAGCTTGCCAACGATCTATATTTTTATTACGCAAATAAGAACCTATAAGATTAAGAGCTAACGGAAGGCCTTGAGCATAGGCTAATGCACGTCGTGCGAGGCTCAAATAATCGTGTGAAGGTTCTTTTCTTGTGAAGGCATTCAAACTTAAAAGCTCAAGAGCTTTGTCATATTCTAACTTTTGGACCTTGTATATCAACTTGACTCCATAAGATTCTAACAATCCTCTATCTTTTGTGGTTATGATCACTCTGCTACCCTCACCAAACCAATCGACTTCAACCAAGTTGTTTAACTGCCCCAATTCATCCACATCATCAAGAATTAAGAGAATCTTCTTTCGCCGCAACAATTTCTCTATAAGGCTGATTCCGTGATGAACATCGTCAATTTTCAACTCTGTACCACGTAGAACTTTAGATAGAAGAGTGCTTTGTAGTTTGATTACACCTTCATGTGATGTCGATGTTTCTCTCACATCTGCCAGGAAACAGCTACCTTCAAACTTATGAGCAATTGCATTATAAACAGCTTTTGCAATTGTTGTCTTGCCAATTCCAGATGTCCCCCAAATCCCAACCACACAACGGCCATTTTCACCGACATCTAAAATCTCTTCCACCTCTTCTACACAAGATTGTATTCCAACTGGGTATTTGGCCACATTCAAATATGTGCGTTGTAGTACTTCGACTAAGATCTCCTTAACAATCTTATTGATAAATGTAGCTTCATATCTACCAGTTTAAATAAATAAAAAAATGGCACATTTAGTCAATCAATTTTTTTGCTATATTTCTTTGAAAAAGAAAAAAAAAAATGTACAAAAAAAATGACACGGGATTACACGAAAGATGAATGCCAGCAACAACCGCAACAGGACTCACTCCCTAATTCGCTAGCTTTGGTGAATGACCGGTCTATAATTATATATGAAGAAGATGGTCATGTCGGTTTAGCATAAAGTAAGAGTTATCTTCTTCATATATAATTATAGACTTGCCATTCAACGAAGTTGGAAATTGATGGAATGAGTGTTTGCGATGATTCCTAGCACTCCTCTCTCACACAATTGTTGCAGTCAAGCATGTGCCGCTTGCTAGGGATTTAAAAACTAAAAATGAAACTCCCAACTAAATAGGTATTATTGTAGCAGAAACTGAAACCTGAAATACATAATCATATAATTATACAAACTATAAGGAGTGAAGAAATGTACGTACTCTCCCTCTTTGATAGTATGTCCTGACAAATTTGCAACTTCTTTAAGAGCACTCCTCCATAAGAGGATCTTCTCCTCGTCCTTGTATTTGCACTCAAGTCCTGTAAATGCGTCACCGAAACTACTCGTTTGATTTCGTACATGAGACGGATCCACCTTATAAAAAACTGGCCAAACTATTTGCTGCCTTGACTGTCTACATTCACGGATATGTACGAGCTCATCCAAGCACCATCTTGAGGATGCATAGTTTTCTGAGAATACAATGACCGAAATTCTTGAGTCTTCAATTGCTTTTAGAAAAGCCGGTGATATTTCTTCCCCTCTTACAAGATGGCGATCAATGAAGGTGTTGATTCCGTTACGGACCAAAGCTTGGTATAAATGATCGGTAAAAGTAAAGCGTGTATCCTCACCTCTAAAACTCAAAAATACATCATATCTCCATGAAGAAGGCAAGACAGAAGTAGAGACAAGTTGATTGGCCATGGGAGAATTAAAGCCAGATAAACTAAAGAAAACGGCCTCTCAAAGAATTGGAATATGCAGTATGGTATGGACGGTGGATTCTCTCTTGTTATATATATATCAGGCCTTATGCATGCTTTTCTTCCTGTGAAGGAAGCAGCAGTTTCCAATTCCACCTTCAATGTGAACGTGGACTCTCTCTTGTTATAGTAGTCCTCATGCTTTTCTTCCTGCCTACGAATAAGTATCCTGCCTACTACCTTTCAATGTGAATGTGGTCAAGTTGAATGAGAGGAACTTTCGTGACAAATTCATTAACGACTGAAAAATATAAAATTGTTACTTGGCGGTCTTTAATTTAAAAGAGAGGAAGTTTCGTTGTAAACTACTATCTACTACCTTTGAAGTAACAATCCATAGTAATACTATTTTAAAGTAATCATGGACGACTGAAAAATATAAAATTATTACTACTAACGTGGCAATACCATGAAATGTATGTTTGGTAGGTAAATTTCTCTCCACTAACTAGTGGCGGTCTTTTTTGGCGGTTTTTAATTTAAAGAAGAACGTGTCTTATTTCATTTGTTTTGTTATACTTTGGAACTTCATTTTTCTTTAACCAGGAAATGACTCACTATGGTTTGTTTGTATTCAATTATTTGTTGATATTGTAATCACCTGTGGCCTTTCTTCATCAAGAATGAATTGATAATTCCAACTCATTTGCCCACTTTCGAAGGCCACATCTGTGTTTTGTATTTTTTTTTTCCGATGGATTTAATTAATTTATAGCCAGCTAAGCTGATTAAATAGCAACACGTGATTTACATCTATCTCAATTGTCATTGGACGACATCTGAGGTCTCAAGCAGACGAGGCCTCTTTCCAAGATTACTAGACGAGGCCTCACATATTCATCGTTACTTTAGTCTAAAGTAGGCTTAGTTTTCAAAAAAAAGAAAAAAAGCTTTGAAATTGTACTGTACAGATGAATAGTCTTTGGACCCAAATTTCATTTTATTTACAAGGTTGTCCTGACTCTTTTTGCCGCTGATCTCCATGCCCCGTGTTGATAATCGTGGAGAGGCAGGGGGGCGATGGTCATTTTAGTCTGTAGGGTTTCGAACGGGTCGGGTGGGTTAGAGACTTTCATTTTCTTTCTTTCTGAGCTGCAGTGGGACGCAGTGAGAGCATGCCTTTGGCGGAGAGAGAGCGAGCAACCAGAGAGAGATAGGGATTTGGTGAGAGGAAGGCATGCGGTTTGCAGGCAGACAGAATCACAGGGGGTGTACGGTTCGAGGGAGAGGGAGTGGGAGAGGGAGGAGTAAGGATCGCTCGCTGAGGGTTTCGCAGTTGGGAGGCCATGCTGATGGAGATAGAGATAGAGAGAGATAGGAGAGGGAGAGGGAGACAGGGAGACAGAGACAGAGCGACAGAAAGAGAAGGAAAAGGAAGAGTGGGGATCTCAGCGCCATTGCTGCAGATCCTTGATCTTCTTCGATCCCATCTCCGTGTTCTTCTCAGCCTCTCACAGTCGCAGCATCACTCGCCCACTCACTCACTCACTCACAGGTACACCTCTTAAACGCTTGCTCACTCTCTCTCCACTGAAATTTGAAGGTGATTTTCCAACCCTGAATTGATATATTTCATACCTTGATTTTATCTTAATTTATCTGGAATTGATCTGCATATGTGTAGTATAGATAGTTTTATCTAATGTTGTAGAATCCATGTCCTATTCAGAAATTCTGAGATGGTAAGGGTTACGGAAAAATTGGAAGGTATATAGAAATTCCAATATGAGTTCTCCGGCCGATTTGAGGTGGGTAATACAAACTTTTATGTTAAGTTGATTTGTTTTCGGTTTTTGGGATGCTTATTTTCATCTGGAAACAAGGCTGAGCATCCAAAAGTTTCAATCTTATACCCATTATTCATTACTGGCTCAATAATCATCAATTTTCCTCTGACTTTGTTTATGAATTCTGATATATAATCAAGGACATACGGGCGCACCAACACCTCCATTTTCCTGCGAAACATCACCACAGAACCACTACCACTCACTCCGTTCTGCTCAGGACACACTGGCGAAGGCCTTTCACTGTGCAGTGGGTACTGCCACTGTTCATCGGCTTCTCTTACGAGACTCACTGCTCCCAACCTCGGTAAACCACCCTTACACTCCTCCTTTCTGTTTTCATTTTGGGACTCGAATTCAAGCTTGCATGTATTTTAGTTTTTCATACTTCTTTCGTCGGATCATCATCACCCTCTCTGTCTCTCTCTAAACAATTTCCAATTGGTTTTTAGAGAGAGAAGGTGGCAGCAGCAGCAGTGGGAAAGAAGGTCTTTTCCTGTCTCTGCCCTTCGAATCTCTAGGGTTTGACTTTGGCTCCGTTAGCTGTTGAGGTAATTATTAATCCATACTTCGATTGTAATTTTTTTTTTCCGTATTCAGTAAGTTTGATCAAATGGGTTTCTTTGGACTTGCATAAGTTGTGTATAATATTGCTTTAATCATTTATTGGGTTCCTTTTGTATTATTGAGTCTTGGGTTTTGCTGGAAATTGTATAAATTTTGACCAAATTGCATAAATTATTGAGCTTTTGTTTGGTATTTTTATGGCTACTGTGCTAATTAGTTCATACCCAAAAGGGAGCAGATAATTAACTGTTCTAATCACTAATTCCCCACTCTGAGAACTTGAGACCTTGGACTGATATGCATTTCTGAGATTTATTATTTATTTTTGTATAGAATATTTAAAGGTGTTAAACTTTTAGTGTAATTATAAAGTATGGCTCTTTGATTCCATATAAATTGCTGTTTTCAAGAGGGGAGCATTTACATGTGGGGGCAACAAGGAGGGGTGTCTGTGAGAAGGTTGGGCTATCTATTTTATTTGTAGTTCTTCATTTCACTAAATTAAATATGAATTATTAATTTTTCAATTTTTAAAATGAAAGATAAAAGAAAATCATATGTACTTAATTATATATATATATATGTGTGTGTGTGTGTGTGTGTAGATAGTTGCAGAGAAGAAATGGAGGGAAGTGGGATGTGTTTTCATGTTCTCCCCAACACAACAAGTGCTTCATTTGTGCTGAGGAAACACTACTCAACCCTTCTCTGCCATTATGAACAGGTTCCTTCTCTCTCTCTGTATTTCTTTGGTGCTTACGTACGTACATTAGTTCTAATGAATGTCTTTTCATTAGGCTGATGCTGATGGCAACGGAACCATAGACTATGATGAGTTCATCGCAGCAACAATGCATTTGAACTGGATGGATAGAGAACATCTCTACACTACCTTAAAACACTTCGATAAAGACAGCAGTGGGTATGCAGAGATCATGATAGATATGGGCTCTTTTTTTATTTTTTATTTTATATATATATATCTTTTACATAGGGCTCTTAAATTCCAATTACATAATACGGAGTAAGGTTATAACTCATCATCATCAACATCTTATTTATAACAATGTTGCCAAAATGCATTCTGATTATCAGGTATATCACGATGGAAGAACTAGAGCAAGTCCTCCACAAATATGGCATGCAAGGTGAATTTTAATCTTTCCAGGTACACCCATATCTATATCCCAAACAACTGTTATTATGTATCAATTTGTTAGAGTCAAGAAATGTTAGAGTCAATTTATATAATTTATTTTTGCTTTCCAGTTACAACCATATCTCACTCCCTTTGGTACTCTCTCTTTCTCTCTGTCTCTCTGTCTCTGTCTCTCTCTCTCTCTCTCTCTTGCTAAAATCTCTGTTGGGTTTCTACGAATATGTCAATTTGTATAATTTATTTTTTGATGTGAGATTTGGTACATTTGATTTGGGTTATGGTTTGAAATGTTATTTGCAAGATTTCATTTTTGAGTTGTATTCATGGTTTCTGCTTAAGATCTCTTTTTTTAATTGTCGCTGTAGCTTGCTGTGCATGTGATATTTTCTTCCAGGTCCAATATTATCCAAATTCATTACTGCATTTCAAGAGCCTGCGACTTATAATTTCGCTCTCAACTCCCAAGTGAGTCTTAGATGGCAAATCACCCTAATAACCTTTCTAAACACATTAAATGGTGAAAGTGAGAAATGGTGAATCTAATGGTGGTGTGGTACATCATGTAGAATCTTTTGAATTCAAGTTGTCTTTTTTTTTTTCTTTCCCTCTCTGTTAATTTAAATTGGGATTGGCTACTGATTTGTTTTTGCAGATTAGGAGGAAAAGAGAAATCATGTGCATTTCATTGTTTTGGAGCATTGCAAATAAATACAATATACAATCAAGTTAGGAAAAGATAAAAGAATGTGCTTGATGACTGATTGGTTTATGGATTATTTGTATTATTTGTGGTGTAGATCATGGTTCTCAGGTCTTTTACAATTTTAGTGGTTGTGCTTAAGGGTAGATGATGATGTAGGATGGAGATAGTTTTTAGAGAATGCTGGATTTTACATTTGTTGGAGTACATTCAAGTAGTTTTGTGTCCCTGTGTGGTATTTGATATTCCTCATAGTTTCGTTCTTGACCATATTCTTTCTCGAATCTTCATCGATAAAATGTTTTCTTGAGCATCTTCTTTAAATGTGTCTTTTATGCTTGATCCAGTTATGACTTTCCCTACCTTTGTGTGCATGTATTGGTTTGAATTTATGTGCATTTTATTTGAAATGATTCGAATTGAATATTTGTAACCAGAAGTAGTGATTTTTCTATTTGTGATAATTGTGGCTCATGTTTTGTTGAGGACTTTGATATTCTAATTTCTTCTTGATAATACATCATTTTTCTAAGCGTATACGGGTAATTATTTTTCATCATTGTTTAAAGATGAAGCATAGAAAAGCAGTGGGCCCAGATGATATACCGATCAAAGTGTGGAAGGTCTTGGGATACACGGGTATAGCATGGCTCACAGACCTTTTCAATAGGATTTTGAAAACGAAGAAGATGCCCAATGAGTGGCGAAAGATCACTTTGGTGCCTATCTACAAGAATAAGGGCGACGTATAAAATTGCATGAACTATAGGGGTATTAAGCTAATGAGTTTTCCAATGAAGCTCTGGGCGAGAGTTATTGAGCATAGATTGAGGCAAGAGACACAAGTTTCAGACAACTAATTCGGGTTCATGCTAGGGCGCTCAACCATGGAGGCAATCTATCCCTTACGAAGATTGATCGAAAGATATAGAGATAGGAAAAAGGATTTACACATGGTCTTTATAGATTTGGAAAAAGCATATGATAGGGTCCCAAGAGACATTCTTTAGAGGATTTTAGAGAAGACAGGAGTATGAGTGACATATATCCAAGCTATAAAGGATATGTATGATGGAGCAAAGACTGCCGTAAGAACCTATGAAGGACAAACCGAAAGCTTTCCGATGACTGTAGGGTTACATCAAGGTTTATCCTTAAGTCCTTACCTTTTTGCATTTTTTGCATTGGTAATGGATGAGTTAATGGGACATATTCAAGATGATATTCCTTGGTGTATGCTTTTCGCAGATGATATATTATTGATAGATGAAAACTCAAGAAGGATAAATGCGAAGCTTAACCTTTGGAGAGAAGTGTTGGAATCTAAAGGTCTTCGCCTAAGCCGATCAAAGATAGAATATATGGAGTGCAAGTTTAGTGCAAATGGAGGCCAAAATGAGTCAGGGGTGAGGATCGGAGATCAAGAAGTACCAAAGAGCGACCACTTTCGCTACCTAGGATCTATCTTGCAAAAGAACAGAGAATTAGATGGAGACCTCAACCATAGAATACAAGTTGGATGGATGAAGTGGAAGAGTGCATCCGGCGTGTTGTGTGACCGTCGTATGCCACAGAAGCTGAAGGGAAAATTTAATAGGACGACAATAAGGCCGGCGATGCTGTATGGCACGGAATGTTGGGTCGTGAAGCATCAGCACGTACATAAAATGGATGTAGCGGAGATGAGGATGCTTCGTTGGATGTGTGGGTACACGAGAAAGGATAAGATTAGGAATGAGGATATTTGAGGTAAAGTAGGAGTAGCCGAAATTGAAGGAAAGATGAGAGAAAATTGGTTACGATGGTTTGGACATGTGCAAAGAAGACCTACTAACGCTTTGGTTAGAAGATGCAACTACGGGAAAGAGTTCCAGGGCCGAAGGTGTAGAGGAAGACCTAAGAAAACTTTGGAAGAGACTTTAAGAAAAGACTTGGAGTATTTGGATCTAACAGAGGACATGACATAGAACCAAGCGCAATGGTGTTCTAGGATTCATATAGCCGACCCCACTTAGTGGGAAAAAGCTTTGTTGTTGTTTAAAGATCACATTATCTATGTAATAAAACCCGGTGAAAAAGTACTGTTCACAAGCTCAGTTGCTTTTTATTCTCAGTATTTTTTCTGTGTTGCACATTGAATTTACTGGTTTGCCCCTTATGTACGCATGTTGGTCATCTTAGAAGCACACGAGACTGGATGTATGCGTGCTGGTCATCTAGGAAGAGGAGTTTGGATGTACACATGTTGCTCATCTGGGCACGGAAGGAAGCTGGGAAAGTTGGGGGAACTGGGAGTCTCTCTCATTCCACTCTCTTCGATTCGCTTCTAGAACAGATTTTTCTCAAGCTTGGAACTCCTGGCAGGCAAGAAGTTTCGTCTCTCTCTGTCTCACACCTTTTTGTTTTTCATTTCATGGTCGAATTTCCTTTGCATGAATGCTTCGTGTGTGTGTGTGTGTGTGACTGCTTGAATCAGGACTTATCGAATTAAGGAGGCTGCAAGGAAATTTGAGCCTTGGACTGTAGAGATACGATTTTGGAAGGAAGCTAGCTACCTTCTAGACTTATTGGATGTGAAGATTTGTATGATTGAATTTGTGATTTATGTACTTGGATTTTATTAAATTTTTCATGATTTTATAAGAGTTTTTCATTTAAATTTATGGGTTTTAGTTTAAATTGTGGGTTTTAGAGAATTCTTCATTAGATTTCTGGGTTCTTTTGATGTGAATTTATGTGAGATTTATCAGCTGCAATTTTGGATATGATAATAGGTGGGCATGCTCATATGTTTTCCAATGTTCTCTTATCAACTCTTAATGTTGAAATAGTCAGCCTTAAATGTCGGATTAATCAAAGTTGGGCATGAGTTCATATGTTTTTATAAAAAAAAAAAAAAAACAACTAATTTTCACTTAGTTTTGAGTAGAATAATGATGTTTTAAGTAGAATAGTGGGAGATTCATTTGTGATCGTTTGAAAATAAATTTTGAATACTACACTACCATTCTGCTTAAAGAGACCCCAATACATGCATAATCTGAATGAAAATGTAATGGCTACTTGAGAAACTAACAGTATACAAGGTTTGAATGATTCTATTTGTATCCATCTTTTTCTGGATTTGTCTGCTATTGGCTATTATGATTTTGTCTGGCTAATGGACTCGCTAAAAATGTGCTTTGGCTTTTTTAATTAAAAAAAACTAAAAATAATGTCAGTTAGTAGCTTATGGGACATTGCTGGTAACTCTCCTAGCCCCAATTCTAATTTCATCTTATATAAATGCGTTCTCCGCCCATTGTTGAGCGATTTCGGAATTAGGGTTGGGTTGGGGTTTGTTTGGTTGCCTGGAAAATGGGGTCATGGGGTTTCTTGTTTGTTGTTGGATTTGTGGGAACTGCAATTTCTGGTGGAATTTTTGTGTGTATGTTCTTAGGGGAAAAAAGTTACATACCTTTTTTGGTTTTCTTAGCCACCAAATGGGAATAATTTCATTTTCTTTTATTTGTATTGGTAGTTATGTGATTCAGGTTCTATTTATTATGATTTTAAATCAAATGCCTTGCGTTGTCTAAATTTACTATAAGATCTAACCTGTATCTTGCGGAAATGGTAAATATGCCATTTTCGGAATGACATGAAATTAATTAGATATGGCATAAAAAGAGGGGATACTTATATTCTCATAAATCTATTTCAGTCGAAAAATGTATTTTGGCGAGGGCACTTTGAGCTGATTAGGTGAAGAACCAAATTGTCTTGCATGCTTCTCATTTATTTAAAAAAATGGATTGGATTCCTATAAATATCTTAGTGAAGAACCAATTTCACGACCTTGCAAAACTTTTTGAGTTTGCCTTTTCTTGCTTGCAATTTTGAATTATTTCAAATTATTAATGACTTTTTTATTTCTTTCTTTTTTTACAACATTGTTGAGAGTGGGTTTTGCTTAAGCTTTGGAGCTCTTAACTCAGATACTCTCTTGGGTACGTTACATATGAGTTTCAACTGCATATATGTATGTGGCTTTAGATTTGTTGGTTCAATAAATTGTAAGCCTTCATTTTAAAATCACTTTAGTCTAAAAGGAGTGAGAAATGAAGTTGGTTGTATAGTATGTGTCGTAGTGTCATAAAAATCTGCCGCAATAGTGATACTAAGAAAATATTATGTTTATGAAACAATGCGGGATTTGTTGGATTTCTTTTCTTTTTTGTTTAGTGTGGATTCTCTTAATCTTTTCTTTTGTAATTTTTGGTGCTTTCACAGACCATATGTGAATTGCATGCCGCTTATGTTTCTTGTGCAAACTGACTATTTTTTTTGAGATTACAACTTTAGTGAATAAAAACTTTTAAGTTCATCCTTTTGATTGTAAAGTGGGTCTTGATGTCAGCTGAATTGAATATAAGTGAAAATCAAACTGCTTTGTTTTGTTCACCCATCTCTTAGTTATTTAAATTATTTAGAGATGCCTATATTGATTTGTGATTTTATTGGATTCACTCTGGTGAAATGTGTGTTATCTGCATTGGTGCATTTTAGGGGGTGACTCCATTCGTACTGCCTTTGTAGTGCATCTTTTTGTGCAAATTATTTGCCATTCTGCCACTGCCTCTTTCTTCCCCTGTTGTTGGTGGATTTCATGTTATTTACAAAATTACCACTGCCTTTTCATTCTTTGTTCGGTGAGGGTTTTGGGCATGGGAGGCCATGTTGCCTCTGAGATAGAGAGAGAGAGAGAGGGAGACAAAGCGAGAGGGAAAGGGAGGAGTAGGGATCACTCGGTGAAGGTTTCAGGGATGGGAGGCCATGCCAATAGACATAAACATAGAGATAAAGAGAAAGAGAGGGAGACAGAGACAGAGACAGAGACAAGGAGAGGGAGAGGGATAGGGAGACGGAGGAGTGGGGATCTCAACGCCATTGTTACAGATCCTTGATTTCATGAGTGGGAGAGGGGACAACAGTTAAAGAAAAGCATGGGGGCCGGATTTGAGGGAGAGGGGTAGGGATTGTGGATGGGGGTCTAGGTTTGTCCCTTTGGTCCATTTTCAACAGCACCACTGCGCTCAAACACTCTCTCTCGCAGTGGAAGTCTCTCCTTCCCTTACTCAATCCTCTGCTTCTTCTCTGATTCATGGTTGGTTGATTTATAAAAAAACCTTTGAGGATAAATTTGGGGTGGGATCTGGGTTTTCTGTGCATTACATAAATTTTGGATTTTCAATTAAGAAATGAATAAATTTGGGGGTTTCTGGTTTTGTGTTTTGTTGTTTATATGCTACAATTACAGGACAAGGAGTTGGACCATGGATGTGCTCTCCTTCGTCCATCCTGTGTCTGCATGTCCTCATTCACAAGATTTCGCACAAATTGCTTAAACATTCCATCTCCCAAACATCTCAGATCCCTCACTCAATTCAAAAGTATGCTTTTTTGTTGTTTCTTGGTGAAAGATTGATCAGCGATGATTGCTATTGTTTATTCGTGGTTGATTGAACATTTTTGTTATATGAAACCATAAAGAATAGTTGCCTCGATACTAAGTTTTTTTATTTCTTGATGCATTTATGTTGATCAGGCACGAAGGGACCAGTCGATACGAAGCGTATCTATGGGACAATGGTTGCAACAAAGAAGGGCAGAGCAGGAAGGGAAGGCAAAGTTTGGCAAGAAAACACAATGATGTTTTTAATTACAAGAAATGTGCATTTTTTTTCCAGTCAAATTCTGCTTTTGTTCTGACTATATTCCATACTATATGCTGATTTTATTTTTTAATTTTTGGTTTTTCTTTTATTAGTTGGGGAATTACAATCAAATGATGAATCTTTGGATTACTTGTGTAAGCATTTTTTCACATATAATTTGGTTGACCATTTTAAATGTCAAACCATGTTGTTTTAGTTCATGCTACTAATCATGCATTTGGTAGATTTATATATACAACAACGTTTAAATGCTAATCGATTACTAACGTTGTTGATGCACAATCAGTGTGGATTTTGGTACACCAGAAAGTGTCAAGTTTGTGACCTTCGTTAGATTGCTATGGTCATTAGTGTGGAAAAGTATGCAAAGATATAGAAACAGGGAGGCAAACACGAGATGTACGTGGTTCACCCAGAATGGCTACGTTCATGGAGTACAGGAGTTCTTATTAGTTGTGAAGGGTTTACACAAATACATAGGTTCAAGCTCTCCTTTAGCGAGTTCTAGTGAATAGATTAGTACAAATGACATTAGAGATTATTGTGAGAGAATAATCCTCTTTTATAGAAGGGAGTTTCTAGCTTTGTACTAACATTGACACGTGTCGTGCTGTGATTGGCCTTTGATATCGACACATGTTGCGTTGTGATTGGCCTCTAATATCGACATGTGTCGCGTTATGATTGGCATTCTGGTTGGAGGGAAAGTCTTGTTGGTCCTTGATGGTATACTGTTGACTAGTGCTCAGTAGTTTCAGGATTGATCAAGTATGGTACAAACAACACGAAGTAATGTTGTTCCTTTACCCTTCTCGGTCATAGCAACGTAATGGGAGTTGCAAGGTTGACGTGTTTTAACTTTGTCAGAGATCTTTAACAAAGTGGTTCACGTTATCTAGAAAGATAATGTTATGTGTGAAAAGCGTCAACAATTTTTATCTAGGAAAATCCAGCTCTCGAGGTTCGGAGAGCGGTGCCTTTTCGATTTTTGAGCAAGCAATCTTGTTAAGGGTTTGGTTTTCAAGATTTGGAGAGCGGTACCTCTTCGATTTTTGAGCAAGCAATCTTGTTGGGAGTGCTTTCTCGGACGTGAGGAAAGGTTGGGCGTTTTTACAAGCCTGTTTTGCCACGGAGCACGGAGGTTGACACATATAGGGTTTTCCAGTTATCAAACAGTGGTGTTGTTCCTTTACCCTTGTGGGTAATAGTAGGGTAGCTGGATCTTCAAAATTTATGTGTCTTAACTTTGTCAGGGTTCTTTGGCAAAGTTATCTTTGGTATCCGAGAAACTGATGCCGCTTGTGAAGATTGCTAATAGATCTTACTCAGGAAAATCTGCTTCTCAAAATTCGAAGGGTGGTGCCTCTTTGATTTTTGAACAAGCGGGCATGTTGCCCTTTCTTTTATGGGGGCACCAATTGTGTTCAAGAAGTTTGTTCAGAGAGTTACTGCTTGTAGGAATTCTTCCCTTATTATCGTACTTTTGAGACTTGAATGTTGTGGAAGAGGTAGCCATGTCTCCTTAGTATAACATATAGCGCCAATTCTTCTTATCTCCTATTGATCCCCTTACTATTGGAGACTCTGTGATGAAGAATGATATGACCGCTGCGGTGATAGCCAAGAATGTTCTCACTCCCAAAGACAACAGACTACTTTCCAAACGGTCCAATGAGTTGGCTGTTAAGGATTTTCTGGCTTTTAGTGTTCAGTGTGCAGGTTCTGTGTCTAATATGGCTCAACACCTATTTGCTCGAACCCGCCAAGTTAAATCGTTGGTGGTTGAAGTGATTAGTCTCAAACAGGAGATCAGAGTGCTTAAGCACGAGAATAAACAGTTGCACATAGCTATGCTACAACCACGAGGAGAAAACTTGACCAGTTACAGGAATCCGAGGGTCCGATTTTAAATGATTATCAGAGGTTTGTGAGTTTGTTCGAAAGACATTTATTACTTTCGTCCTCTAGGGCTATACCACTTACTGAAACTCTAAATGATCAACCTCTGGTGCTAGCTTTCTGGGGTTCTGCCCAGTACTGAGGCTCCAAATAATCACCATCTGGTGTCTTCTATTTTTGGGGCTTTGTCGAGTGCTGAAACTTCTCCTGAGCAATTTTTGTGAAGGCGCCTTCTTGTTTGTTTGTTTTGATTCATGTGTATGCACGTATTTGTAATTTATTGAAGATATCAATAAATAAACTTTACTTCATTTAACGTGTTGTGTTAAATACACTAAGGTATCCTTCACTAGGTTATTTGAAATTTTTATTTTGTTGAAGTTTGCATGTTGAAACTTCGTGGGTAGACTCTGTAGGTTGAAGTAGTGCTTCCTTAATTTCCCGAGTGAGGAAAACTTCTCGGTTGGGGACTTGAAAAATCCAAGTCACTGAGTAGTCGTGAAACTTTCGAGTACCAAGGTGTAATGGTATATGGTAAAAGCCTCCCAAGTCTCCGGGCGAGGATAGTTGCTGAGGGAGGTGTCTTGGTAATGGCCAAGTTATCCAAGTAACGAAGCTTTATTTTTGTGTCGCACCTTCCTTAAAAAAAAAATAAGACCCAAGGTCTCATCCCTTTAAACGTGTCTTCTTCCCCATTTGCCTTGCCTTTTCTCATTATTTTACTGTTCATTTTTTTTTTTTTTACTTTCTGCTACTCTTTTCTGCTTTTAGTTTTTCTTTTGTCATACCTTTCCCTTCTTTGGTGGAATTGCTTTTCATTTCCCCTAACAAACTGAGTTGCTGCAGAGTCATTTTGAAGGAAATGTGGATAAGCTCCTGTTCTAAAGCGGTGTTGGAGCTGGGGAAATCGAGGAGGGAGTCGATGTAGAGGGAGCGGTAGCTTTTCAATATAACATCATCCTCTGTAGCTCGAATCGCAAAGTTGTCCTCATGAAAGTTGTTCCTTAACTCCTGAACTACAACATATCCAAATTTGAAATCCATCGGGGCAATACAACTCTAGAAATTCAGGTATGATAAGTGATTGTTCATTATTTTTCTGTAAACCCGTCAGACATGTTGTGAGCTTCAAAACTCCATTTTCGATTGTTCAGATCAACATACTTTCTTCATCGAAGTTGTTCCTCATCCTTGCTTCTATAACATATAAAAAATTCAGAATAAACTAACGGTTAAATATTTCCAGATCTTCGAAACACTACGGCAACTTTGAAGTCTGCAGAAATCCGATTGTCATGTTTAGAACTTCAATACTCTAACTTCCGTCACTTAAATAGAAACAGTTCCTTCTTGAAAGTTGTTCATCTGCTCAAGAACTATAAGATGTCCAAAATTCAGCTCCATTGATAACTAAAAGGAGATGGAAGAGGGAGAAAGAGAAAGAGATTGCTTGGGTTGGATTTCTAGTTTGGGGGAGACTCCAGTTTTCGTGGCACCTTCATTACTGGTGGATTTCTTGTACTTTTGTTTACCACTAATGTGTAACTTTGACTTGTTATTTACTCTATTATAGTATGTTTGGAAACATATATAAGTAAATAGGTAAGGTGTATTGGTTGTGGATTTTTGTTTGGGTATATAGCTTAAATAGTTGAAGCTATTTTTAGGACACAAGAACTTGATTTTGCTTCACACTATTTTGATCAAGAGTGTGTGAAGCTTTTGACATTTGTAGTTGCTCTCCATTTGGTGGGGCTTTGTAGATGAAGCTTTGTGGTTGAAGCTTTGTAGTTGAAGCTTTGTGGTTGAACGTTGAAGTTTTGTAGGTGAAACTTTGTGGTTGAAACTTTGTAGTTGAAGCTTTGTGGTTGAACGTTGAAGTTTTGTGGTTGAAGCTTTGTAGGTGAAGCTTTGCGGTTGAAGCTTTGTGGTTGAACGTTGAAGTTTTGTGGTTGAAGCTTTGTAGGTGAAGCTTTGTGGTTGAAGCTTTGTAGGTGAAGCTTTGCAGTTAAAGCTTTGTGCTTTGTGGTTGAAGCTTTGTAGGTGAAGCTTTGCAGTTGAAGCTTTGTGGTTGAAGTTTGTGGCTGAAGCTTTATAGGTGAAGTTTTGTGGTTGAAGATTTATAGGTGAAGCTTTGTGTAGGTCACCATAAATTGATTTTGCTTCACACTATCTTGATCAAAAGTGTATAAGGCTTTTTTACATTTGTTGAAGCTTTTGTTGGCATCATAAACTGGTTTTGCTTTACACTATCTTGATCAAGAGTGAAGGTTTTGAGAATTGTAATTGTCTTTCGTTGATGAAGTTGCTGTGTTCCCTCTCCTTTTTCTTTCATTATTTTTTTGTTTTTTTTATTTTTAGAATGGGGGAACTAAAAATTTGAAGTTTGAAACTCCCTAGCTTGTGTGGAAGTTTGAAGACTTTCCATGTGGGGCTTTTTTATGGTTTGAATTTGAATTTTGAATTTCTTTGGTCTTGTTGAACTTATATAAGAAGGATAAGTTTCCACTCCTTACCTTGACTTCATCTCATTTTGTAGTAAGTTTTGAAGACAGAGTGTTCTCTAGTTGAGAGGGATTCCAGCATTGCTTTGCACCATCTTTAGGTTGGTAGTCTTCTCCACTAGATCGCATGCTTTCATTCTTATTGAATTGTTTGAGTGTTCATGTATTTGGTTGAGAACATGATGAACTGGTTGAGCTTTTCTTCATACCCTAGGAACCTCCTTATGTTTTGATATTTCATGTAGTGATAGAGTTTGTTTCTGTTTGTTGTAGATGTCAAAGTCTAGAAGGCCTAATGATGTGGGCTCCCCTAGCTCTAGCTCTATGTTTGAGCTTGCAATGTTGGAGTCTTCATGGCCTTTGTTGGAGTCTTGTACAAAAAAAAACGTTGGATGATCTTCGCAATTGTCAAACCTTAGCCAATATTGGTTCTTCCTTATTCATGTCGGTAGGTGAAGAGTTGTTTTTTAGTAGGTGAAGGGGTTGTGTTTTTTACGCCATACCCATATTTCGCTATGAGTTCACAACGGACCATTTAGAGAAAAACTTGTTAGATAGCGAAAAGCAGCTTGAGGCCCTAAGGCAATCATGTAGTATCCCCCGCAGTGTAGGAATGCGTTTGGTACATCATGAAGAATTGGCCTTTGAACCGCCCAAGGGTCATGTTATGTTCTATACCCAAATATTATTGATCTTAGGGGTGAAGCTGCCTTTGCACCCGTGGTTGCAACGGATGCTATCTTTCATTGGATATGCGCTTGGGCAACTCAATTCTGGTT